TGAGTTCGAATCCCGCACGGAATACAAAATACTTTATTTGTATGGCCTACAAGTGATTGTTCTGGGTCTAGATGTTTGTCCTTGTGCAATTTATGTTAAAAATATGTGTAAAAATCCTAGTGCGGGGATAACGTTTTAACAAAAAAAAAATCGTGTTTATGGGTGGGCATAGCAATAATAAATGCTTTTAACCAAGCCGCCAAGTCTTGCAAAAGGGCGTTACGGCAAGGCAGTTTCGACCGCATTAAACGCATCGGTACAAAGCTCTCTATCAAACCATCTGGCAGTAGAGATTTTTGGTCTCTCGCCAAAGCGGTCGAGACAAACTTCTGTCGGTATACACTGCCTCCGCTGGTAAAACCAGATGGCCCATTGCTGCCTTGCGCGCATGCTCTTAAGGAAAAAGTGAATTTATTTGCTTCTCATTTTGCTTGCAATTTGCTTTTGGACAGTAACAACGGCACACCATCTCAACTACTTCACTGCGGTATACCGCAGTGAGGTAATACAGATTTCAGGGGTCCGTATCACCAACAAGGAGCTTCTTAAAACCTTGCGAAGTCTAGACGTGAACAAAGCTAGTGGACCTGATGGTACACCAGCTATGGTTCTAAGGTCTGTGTACCAGAGTTGTCTCCTGTGTTGACGCGCTTGTTCTGCCTTTTATTCAAGACTGGAATAGTGCCCAAATCTTGGAAGCTAGCCAATGTGCCAACTATCGGCCAATTTCAATTACCTCCATACTCTGTAAGACTATGGAGCGTATATTGAACACCCGCTTAATGGTATACCTAGAACAAAATGACCTCCTTAGTGACCGGCAATACGGGTTTCGCCGAAATCGGTCAGCTGGGGACCTTCTAGCGTATGCCATACACGTATGGGGCGAGGCACTCGAGAACAGTGGTAAAGCACTATGTCTCGAAGGCCTTTGACAGAGTTTGGCACGCTAGCCTTTTGAGTAAGCTTCCAGCGTACGGCTTATCTCCTGGTCTGATTGAATGGGTAAAAGATCGTCGGGTCGTCGTCGATGGCTGCTCATTCGATCCAGTGGCGACTGACGCCGGTGTCCCTCAAGGGTCCGTTCTCTCCTCAACTCTCTTCTTGCTGCATATTAATGATCTGTTTATGCCCGGTATCTATGGTATATATATAAAAGAAGGAATAATTTGCCGGCGTCTATCTTTCCGTCCGAATACAATCTGGGCGTCTTCAAGGCAAGAGTGAATAGGCTTTTGTTACGCTAAGTGAGTGCGATTTATCATCTAAGGTTGCATACCACTTACCACCAGGTGGGATTGTGGTCAAGTACTGGCTTATAAAAAGTTAAAAAAACGTGAATTTTATTTTTTAAAAATAATTAAAAAAAAAGGCATCAAACCTAAAAAATCTAGTGCTTGTGTAGGCATGTCCTTTAGAATCGCCCTTGACAAGGCTAAGGAACAGATGACAGGTTTTTGGAACAATGTCTGTAAACAGTTCTATCACCACTTTTCCCATCTTGGAGCCTCCTCGCACCCAAATTTCCATGGACACTCTAAAATTTTGATTAATATATAAAAATTATTATAAATAATTTCTGGGAATAATAAGCTAATGATTCACTTTTACTTTGTAAGTTTTTTTTTAAATTATTTTTTTTCTAATCATTCTAAAGTCGCAAGCAAAAAGAGAGGAGTAGCAAAAGCGTTTTTCAACCGACTTCAAAACTAATTATGCAAGTGTCAGAAAAATAAATTGCCAATAAGATGTATAAGTATTATTATAGCTCAATGTCAAATATTAATGTTCTTATGTCAGTAAATATAATGTCAATTATAAATGTTACATATCGAATTGTCATTAATTTATTTCAATATTTATATCAAATTTATTAATTAAATAAATAAAATTTTTAATTTATAAGAATGACATAATTTAATCGTTGTGTCAAATTCTAAAATGTATCATCGTCTACTGAATGAAAAATACTGATGTGCAAAGAAGTCTTTAATTGAGTAAAAAAAATTCTGGATGAGTCATTTTTTTAGGTGAGTTTTCATTTTCATTGTTGGGTCCCTCTTACCTATAATGGAATTGTCGCGAGCGCTTATGAAATAAACACAGATTTTTTTGACAAATATACACACCTCTAATGTAGTAATAGTCCAGTCAGCGTTAGCAAATTGTTATTTTTAAATAAAGATCTACATTATTCAAGGGGCCCGACGTTGCATAAGGCTCGTATACATTTCTTTTGACTGATAAATGCCTTGTTTATATCAGTCGAGTTTCCCCATACCAACAGACCATACCTCAACACAGATTCAATGTATCCGTAGTATGCAGTAAGCGCAGCCCCTTTCCCAGCGACGCACTGTAGTCTAAGTAGTACCTACACAAAGATATTTAATTTGGTGCAGACATTTTTCACATGCGACTTCCAGTTGCAATGGTTATCAGCATGTAGACCTAAAAATTGTATTTGTGAAACCTCTTTCAAATATTCATTATTATATGAAATATTTAGTTTTTCATTTGATGTATTGTAATTGGAAAACTTTATGAATTTTGTTTTTGAAACTTTCGCACGCAGATTATTGGTTTCTAACCAGGTCATTATGGATTCTACAGCAGAATTTAACGTTATTTCGAAGTCACTTGCGGTAAATTCTTTATTTAGTTTTGGTATGACAACGGAAATTTCGTCAGCAAAAATGATAGACTGATGAGGTGTCGTAGTCGGTACGTCATTTATATATAATAGAAATAAAAGTGGACTCAATACACTGCCCTGTGGTACACCATTTTTATTGTGAGTAAAAGAAGATCTAAATGACGTGCGGTTATGCTTTTCATCAATACGTGTCACTTCAACACATTGTTGTCGATTTTCTAAATATGATTTTAGCCAATTTAATGCTGGTCCACGAATTCCATATCTTTCACACTTATCTATTAGAATAATGTGATCAACACAGTCAAATGCCTTTGACATGTCATAAAATATAGCAACCACTGATACTTTTTGTTTATGTAATCAGTTACTCTATGTATTAAAGAAAATGCGGTATGTGTTATGGATTTTACTTTTTGAAATCCGTTCTGTTCTTTACGGAGAGTATTATATTTGGAAAAGTGGTTGTAAATTCTACTATGCATCGTCTTCTCAAATATTTTCGAAAAAATTGGTATTGGTGTAATAGGTCTGTAATTGGTTAATTCGTGATGATCACCTTTTTTATAGAGCGGTTTCACAATCGAAGTTTTTAGTTTCTCGGGAAACGTACCCTGTGTGAACGTTAGATTTATGAGGTTTGAAAAAATAGGACCTATAATATCAGCACAATCCTTTAGCATATGAGTAGAGACTGAATCATTACCCACAGACTTTGTATTGTGTAAGGATTTAATTATTCTTATAACTTCATTTACAGACCATGGTCGTAAAAATATGCTATGTTCGAGGTTGTCTAAGCGCATTCTATGTTTCTGTATTTTTTTATCAATTTTTATGTCAGAGATGTCAATAAAATAGTTATTAAGTTTTTCTGTAATGTCATTAGGATACACAATTTTTATATCGTCACTATTTATTCAATCAATATCTTTATTGTTTGTATAGTAATAATACAAGATTTGAGTAATTTTGAATAATTAACATACCGTTCTTTGTTTTTAGTATTTTTGTTTTTATAATAGATGTATCTCAATTTTCTTTTGGTAATACTTGATATTTTAATACCCGTAGTAATCCATTCAGGTGCTTGAATGCTAAAATTTATTTTACATCTTTGAATAGGAAAGCAAAGATTATCTCGTAAGCAAAACATTTCATGAAATTTATTGAATGCTGAATTAAGATCTTCTACGTCGATTTGAACTTCTGTTTGTTCTCTTTGCTATAATTTCTCTTAGTAACATACATATATTTAAGTTTTCTTTGTTTTACTACCGGAAAGCTTAGTAATTGACTTGTATTATGGTCTCACATGTTGAACTCATATAAGGAACTATAGGGATGTTCTATATTACTGGCTATATGATCAATGCATGTGTTTTGACTAGTCGGTTTATTAATGTAAAGCTTAAGATTATAGTTATGCATTAAGTTTGATAACTCTTCGGTTGTGCTGTTGTCTTTTAGCGTGTCAATATTGAAATCACCACATAGAATAATATATAGAGTAGTGTATCTAGCTTATTAAAAAATACGGAAGCCGGTGATTGCGGTATCCTATACACGCAGACTATTTTGCATTTGTAGGCTGGTACCTCAATTCCACAACATTCAAAATATTTTCAACCGATATTTCATTACATAAATTTATCGGCTTAGAGAGAAGTGTTTTATCTGTGAGTATACACACTCCACCACATCTTACTTTTGATCTGCAGAATGTGTAAGCAACTTTGAAGTTTTTCAGTTTAATGTTAGATTCTTCTCCCTTTTTTTTTACAAATGTGAGACAGATAAGAGTGATTTCTTTACCATTTTTCGTCAATTTATTGACACATAATTCTCATATATGAGTTTTGTTTAATAATCCCGCGATATTTTGATGGAGTAATGTTACTGTAGTAAAAGTATTTTCATCATTGTGAGCGAAAAAGAGGCTGAGTAAAACTGGGGTCGGATACGTTTTCAAGGACGTTACGTTACGAAGACTTTCGAAAAATAATCTAGAATAGTTTTCTGCTTAAGTGTGTTGGGTATTCTTTAGATCGGGGCAACATACAGTGTTTGAATAACAACTTTTTTGATAGTTCCTTTCTGACAAAATGCGTGATACACCAGTTTTATTACCATGTAAATAGGTGGTTTTATAATCTATGCAGTCTATAAAAAATTCAATCTTTGCGATAAGCTATAATTGATGTTTAAAAGAAGTAAGTAAAGACCCGTGTCCGGCTGTGGGACGTATATAGGCTATAATATTACTTTATATATATTTTCACAGCTCCTAAAATGTATTTTATTTGACTTTGAAGTTTCAAAAATCCAATAGTGAATAAAGCACTCACTTGGTTCGAAGGATATTTGGAGGTTTGTCGAAGGCCGGATCTCTGATCCCACGATCTAATTTCTCCGTGTTGAAAAGTATGAAGGGCAATCTAAACATAACATCAATATATTAAAATGTTTAGTTATTTCACATACGTTGCAGTAATACATGTAAAAAAACTTACGATGCTCCTAAAATTAGCTTGTGTTTCGTATCTTTCCAGGCTTCGTCTAATTCTTTTGTGAGTAATTGCTCAGATCTCTAAAAACAAATAGTTTTAATTGACAGCTTCGTCTTCGTGACGTAACTTAGTACGTACGTACGTACTTTTGACAAAAACACAAGTTTTGATATTTTTGTCTGTCTGTCTGTTTTTTCCAGCTAATCTCTGCAATGGCTGGACAAATTTTGACGGAACTTTCACTGACAAATAGCTGATGTTATAAGGAGTAACTTAGGATACTTTTACTTTAGAAAAGGAATTAGAGTTCTGCGCAAAAAAAATAATACCCTAAATTACACGCAGGCGAAGTCGCGGGGAACAGCTACTATATTAATATAGAAAACTTTAAAGTTAAAGCTGACTTAAAGAACTAAAAAAAAATACGTGTGGCACTCGGGGACTGCTGCGGTAAAGCTATTGCATAGCATTTTTATCAACTTATGCAATTATAATTATTTATTTATTTTAATTATGCAGTATTTTTCTTCTTTGTTTTTTTTTCTTTGATATTAATTCAAGTTTTTTCTTTAATAGTAATTCAAGTTACAGTTTTTGAGCGCGGTGATCGATAAGAAAACAATTTTTTTTCTTTTATTGAATTAATGAGAAGTTAATATTGTTTAAAATATTTTTATTATCTTACCGATATTTTTTTACTGATTTTTATTTTCTAAACGGAATTCGACATCAGTTTTTGAAGTTAAGAGCTGATCAGTTTTTGAATTATATTGCTGAAGTCGTTTAAAATTTATTTAAAAAAAACAGACAACAGTTATTAAAAAAAAATATTTTTGAGATTTTTCAAAATCTACTGGTCCGAATCAGTTCCTGTTATCAACACGCAGCAAGCCGTACGCACGCACGCACTCACGCACGCACTCACGCACGCACGCACGCATGCACGCACGCACGCAAGCACGCACGCACACACACACACACACACGCACAACACACTCACATTTTCGAAAATCAGGGTGAAACCAATAACTTCCCTATTTTTTAAAATTTTCAATTTTCTTAGCGGGTAGTTAAAAATAGTTTGTTACATAATAGATTCTGAAGTAAGTGCTGATACAAAATGTATAGAACAATTAAAACCCCGAACAATTAATAAATAAATAAAAGCGATAGCTCAGGGTCTTAGTGCTTGACGTAAATTTCACAGTACGCGAGCAATTCGGCTTCTCCGCTAGGAGCAATAGTATTCTGTGTTCGGGTTCATACCCCACCTGCACAAGCGAATTTGTAAATTGCAATTCCATGTGCTAATTTACCATGTGCTTGGAGATGAAGGAAAACATCGTGAGGATACATTCATGTTTGAACAAATTTGAGAGCAGACGGAATCCGCTAATAACCACTGCAGCAATACAGCGGACCAATTGCTTCATAACCTTTATGGAAACGAGGGACTTATGCCCTGCTGTGGGATGTACGAAGCAAGTTTAAGTTTAGTTTTAGTTTATACGTGGTAGAGCCATGCTGCAGTTATATTAGTAGTATAGCTGTAGCACGAATGGGTCGGTTCGACCGGAGAAGGACTACGCTCTCACAGAATACCAGCGTAAAAACTCAATGCTGCTGTTTCAGGTATTAGAGAACCGCCTTTTACTGGAAACGAGGCACTCCATCTTAGTCCTTACGGGTGACAACGCATCTGCATTTTGATTTGCAATAGAGGATAGATGTAGAATCGAGATCGAATCGAAATCGAGGATAGATGTCTATGGGCCGCAGCAACAACTTACCATCAGGTGACTTGTCACCCTATCCTATATATTTATATAAAAAAATAAACCTTTAACTTTTATGTTTTGTGCGGATACAATAAATTATTCTTAAATCATATGAATACAAACGGCGACTAGCAGACGAGAGTAGATGTGGAGGTTCTGTTTTTGAATGGTGTCCAGCATGCGCTGGCGCTGCTTGCACAAGAGCTTGTTATATTTGTCGGTTGGTTCGGGACGCAACCAGCAATCAACGAAACCCTGTGTAAAAATATATTTTCAAAGTTAAGATTAAGTTCGTCCTTCACTTTACATGTGAAAAATTGATTACAAAAAGTATCGAATCTGATTTTTATTTAAATTAACCTGTAAAAACTTACCCCTGTCCTTTGTATTAAATTTATTTTTTTGATAAGTTCCTTGTTTACGATCATATTTTCTTCCAACTGACGTGCATAGTAATCCAGCCGACGCGGTTTCAAGTACAACTCAGGAAACAGCTCCGGAGAACTGTCGTCTACTTTATGTTTTGTCATTTGTAGCTAAAATAGTATAAACTATGAAAAATGACTAAACCTTTTTAGCCGAATTCAACAAAGAAGGAGGTCCTTAATTCAACTGTATGGTTTTTGTATGTATGTTACTCGATATCTCGTCAATGAAACCCCATTTTAATGACTCTTTTAGGGATGGTGCCATATAAATTCGGAAACAAATTAATTTAATTATTGGAATGCAAAAATGTAGGTAAAAAGTATAAGTTTATTATGTCACTTAATTTAGAAGACATTTGAGCTTGTCATATTCCTAAGACTTCTCCAAAGGATGAAAAAGTTAGACTTTTATATCATTTCACGAGAAGGTTCGCCTTGATTGGACAGGTTTGTGTACTATTCGTTCTTCTCTACTCGCAAGGCTACCACACTAACACAATGTGTATGTGCACAGCTAACAACAACCAAAGTCAAACCTTCATCGTGAAATAGAATAATTATAGTAAAAAGTAAAAGCTGACTTCAAAGAACTAAAATAATAAAGTAATTTCTACATAATATCTTCAGAAGTGCTTTGTAGTGGCGGTGTAAGAATATCCACTATCCCATATCGTCCCAAAGGTTTCGTAAGAGGCGGCAGAAGGAAATTGAAACAGGTGATGGGCAGAAGCATCTTCCTGATAATAACTCAACATAATAAAAACTGCGTTTGAGAACCCGCTCGCTAGGTGTGACATCTATAGTAAAATCTCTCCTACTAGAGAAACTGTGGGGAAGCATGTGTTTAGCAGTGGAACTATATAGGCTGTAATTGATGGATAATGGATCTTCGGTAGTCGGTGCCCGACCGACCCGACTTCAGTACGTGAAATTATTTTATTCTTATTAATTTCTTGTAGTCGGCTTTAGGTTTAGGTTCTACTACGGTTTAAACGGTTCATTCAGTGCGCTGACCATTGGATCATGCGGATATAGCTATTTAAGTAATTTTATAAGATATATGTTTTATCTTTTACCTCTTTCTGATGATTGCACCATTTTACATAGAAATCTTCAGACAACAAGGGAAATTTCGGCGGCTGGAAAAAATTGTTTATTGAAAAGGTTTGATAATTGAGATCAGGCTAGTGAATATACGATATATCTAAGTAATTTTTAGGCGATGATATTATAATAAGTACCTAGTACTTATTATAATATCAAATCTTTCAATAATTATCTTTTTTTGAGGAATTGTAATAATTTTGTTGTTAGAAATATAAACACTCTATTAAGTAAGAACCAAACGTAAGAATAAATTAGAAGTTTGTAACAGGGTAAGAAAATCTCATTCAGAGAGACACTTGGTAAACGGTGACTATGCTCATTTTAGAAAAACCTCATGGCTTTAGACTGATTGGCGACGGGGAGCGGTATCAAAGGCGCGAAATGTCTGGTACTGAAATTGCCAAACCTTCTACCAAGCGTAACAATTACAGGAAATCCCCCTTTAGAGAGAAACCTATGTCCAACACTGGGTTTAGGCGGGTTGATAGAGAGTAAGTAAAAAGGTATACACGTGGATTAAAATACAATATATGTAAATGATTAAATTCACATACTTAAGTACATCCTAATTTGTACAAAAAATCTAATATAATCTAAAAGTTAAGTGTTTGATTTCTTTAAAAAGTTAAATCCAAACATTCAAGATAATAAGTGGACCTCGTAGCCTCCGGTGAATGGTGCATTAGAAGTTTTGTTCTTTACTTGTAAATTCATTGTAATTTACATGACAGTTGAAATTGTTTCAAAAGCAATTAAATTTAGTTTGGACTTTTTTGGACCCTTCTGCGGTAGCCCCTGTAACTGGTTAATGATGTATTCGTTAATTTGTAAATAAACATTTAAATTAAAAACAAAAAGCTAACGAGTTTAAATTCTCGGGGCTTGCGGACACGTGGTGGGCGCGGCCGCTCGGGCTCCGGCGGCGGCGTACGTAACAGCGGGTTCTCCAGCAGATCGTCACAAGCGCGCTCTCGCAGCGGGTGCATGATAGAATCACAAAGCGAAACTTAAACATAATTTTATTTTATATAAAGTAATACAATCTATTCAATATTTAAAATCTTATAGATGTTCACGGATCTCCTCTCATTTTTGTGAGGGGACCATGAGCCAGCAAAATCTAACATGCTGCTGTCCACGTCTGGCTTGGAAGTTTATATTTTACTTTTCAGCCAAACAGCTTCCCCCAAGGATTTAGCTAATACCGGCGATCATGTGCGTAATGGTCCTTTTAAGTGACTTAACTTATACATTTTGCTGTGGGACCTATCGTAAACCAATGACCTTTTATTCTTTTATTGGGTCTTCTAACCCTGTTTTCTTGTATTATTTTTATTATTGAAAATAGTTCATATTTAACTTTAATTTCTCAATGTCGTTTGAAATATTCAGACAACATATGTTTCGGAAATCTTCCAATAATTGATTTATTTTTTGTCGTTATTACGTATCTACGTTTTACGTTTTTTGTACTTTAAACCTGTGTTAAGGGGTAAGGAAAATCGAGTGTTTTTATTATATTACAGCAAAGTCTTGTGTCAATCAATCGACTTCAGATTAAGCGCTCGGTGTGAATTTCACAGTACGCGAGCAACTTGGGTTTAATCCCCGCCAGCACCAATGAAATTTTTAATTGCAATTTTAAGCGCTGATTTACCACGTGCTCTGCGGTGAAAAAAACATCGTGAGAAAACCTGCGTGTCTAAGAATTAAGAAAAAAGACATGACACGCATACGAGCAACGCGGCGGATATTCCCTTGCCCTAAAACCCTCTCGGAAATGAGAGCACGCATGTGCAGCAGTGGGAATTTAAAGGCTGTAACTAAAATCTTGTGTGCTTGTGACGCTCGACAAACGTATGTCGGCTTCGCGATGTGGGAATAATCATCGTGTATGATAGATATCTATTAGACCTACAAAACTTAGATCAGTGATAGGCAACAGTGAGAAAAGTGTGGGCGCGGTATCGTGGCTTCTACTATCTCTGTTTTCTTGTATTATTTGCATGCGGGAATAGCTTAAGATGTTACTGTATTTGAAATCACAATATGGTAAGAATTACACAAGTGCACCATAAATTTCGTATACCGCGAACAACGTATATCGTTGCTCACATGAGGATGTGCCTTGTGGCATTCCTTGGAAGATCCCTATAATCAGCAGTGGTTTTGAGGTGGATCGTAGTGATTTAGTTGATGTTGAATGTGAGCAACCTTTGTTTGTAGTCTAGTTTAGATTTATGATTAAAAGTTGATTTAGTGACTCATAAATAGCGATACATATATTTTATAAACTGTTTAAGCAAAAATCTATGGAGTAGGTATATTTTGTTTAACGAAAATGGAGTAGTTGTTCATGTGCTGATTTTATTTTTAAAAATATCAATAATTTGGTTTGTTAGTTAGTGTTTTTAGCGTTAGTGTTTTTAGCGTTAGTGTTTTTAGCAGGCAGATAATTACGATAAATTATTATTAATACGACTTGGTTAGAGAAACATAAAGTCGATTGTTGCAGGTACCTCAAAACCGTGCTTTGTATTCTTTTTTGCGAGACCTTCTGCAGTGGACTTAAGAAAGGCCATGACGATGATGATTATTATTATTGATATAAGAATGCACATACCAAATATTTGAAATTTTTAAGGAACAATTTATTTCGATGTAAATAGATTCAACTGTATAATGTAAAAAAAACCCTTGTGTTTTGTACATGAGAGCTTAAAAATATAAAGGTAAAAAGAACTTTAAAATAAAAACTGTCTGGTTATGTCAGTCATGTCATGTCTAATATCCAAATAATTCTGTTCTGGTCAAAAAGTATACAAACACTACGCCACAGAACACAATTACTCTCTACCGAGAGCACTACGTATTAGTTATGGTTATGTGTAAAACGTAGTGATTGACAAAGTTAGTACAAAGCGTCATCGATATACTCGTTTTTAGGGTTCCGTAGTCAACTAGGAACCCTTATAGTTTCGCCATGTCTGTCTGTCCGTCTGTCCGTCCTCGCTTAATCTCTGTGACCGTTAGCACTAGAAAACTGAAATTTGGTACCAATATGTGTATCAATCACGCCGACAAAGTGGTAAAATAAAAATTGGAAAAAAATGTTTTATTAGGGTAGCCCCCCCTATATGTAAAGTGGGAAGTGATTTTTTTTAATTTCAACCCTAACGTGTGATATATTGTTGGAAAGGTATTTAAAAATGAATAGGGGTTTACTAAAATCATTTTTTGATAGTGTCAATAATTTCGGAAATAATCGCTCCAAAAGTAAAAAACAATGTGTCCCCCCCCCTCTAACTTTTGAACCATAGGTTTAGGATATATGAAAAAAAACTGAAAAGTAGAATTTTATAAGGACTTTCTAGGAAAATCATTTTGAACGCGGATGGAAACAACAGTACCCACTACCGGGAGCAGTTGCAGGAGCGCGGAGCGCTGCTGGAGCGCGAACATAATGGATACCCACCTTTAAACTCATAAGTGGGAACACTTAATGTGATGGACGGGAAACTACGGAACCCTACACTGAGCGTGGCCCGACACGCTCTTGGCCGGTTTTTTTTGTTTATACAGTTATTTTATATTACTTTATATCATATGTCTAAAATATATAGAAAATAGGCCTAGACTTATTCGAGCGATCTAGTATTTTTTTCCAAATTAAGTGATAATGATTATAGTACATTGAAAATAATGGTGTCACAAACTTAAAAACACTAATAGTTAGTGAGGTATGAATACTAAATCTTGACAGTCACACGGGATTTTTTCATTTCCATATTTCCATTTATAATTTACCACTTGGTCAGCAGAAAATAAAAACCATTTTAAAAGTTATTTTTAAGTTTATTAAGAATCCACTACCTACTACTAAAGATATATATTATTACTTAGAAGCTCTAAGACCCCATACCATCACCACCCATATCATGGATATGTAATGGAACAGAAGATAAGTAACAACATCTTCCCGATAACAATTCAAAACAATAAACAATTGCGGTTGCCACCACACTTGCTAAAAGAAGGAACTATGGCAAAGATAACCCCTACGAGGTAATCTATGGAAATAAAATTGTGTTCAGCAGTGGACTTTTGATAGGCGTAACTGATGAAGGAATGATGGTAATATTTAGAGGGAGCAGAGAGGAAAACGTATTATACTTTCGTAATTGATTTATTGGTTGTTGTGATGGAGAGAGAAAAGAGGAGGCAGTGCTCTGTTGTACGTTGCTTCACACATAAAGATAAATAAAACATTTCAAAGTGGTTCTTGGTTATATGCGTACAGTTATTATTTCCTGTGAAACCCATAATAAGTCTAGGGATAATTAGGCAAAAATATACCGGCTGATTTTAAGTACATTTCGTACAGACCTTTCACGATATATTTTAAATTACCACGATGAAATGACAAGATGTCAGATAAAGCTTTCGTTGACGTTCATTAATATAAATAAATATTATACGAATTGAATTAATCAAAATCCTTTATTTTACTACATAGAGTAAATGAATTTATCGACAACGTTTTTTGTTTCGATAATGGCACATCAATAGAGGTGTCTATGGAATAGAAAAACGACAACAACTGTGTAAATGAAATAAAATGAGAATAATATATATATATAATATATATATATATATATATACTTATTTTGTACCACGTAAAACGTTATATGCATAATGAATTCAACTACAAGAATTTTGTTCTTATTTTAGGATTTCATCTATCCTTTAGCTAGCTTTAGTTGGAGAATATTGCTGCCGTTCGGAACAGTGTGCGAGAAAATCCTAGACAGTCCATTCCGCATCGTGCGCAAGAGCAGGGTCTTTCTGCGACATCAATTTGGTGGATTTGGCACCGAGATCTGGGTTATCATCGATATAAAGTTTAATTAGCTCGAGAGATAAAACCCAACGACCACAGATAGCGCCGTGATCTGAGTGAGCTTTAGAGCAATTGGCGTCTGATTCTGCTTTCGGTAAAAAATCATCTTCATTCACACATCAATCAGGCTCATTTCTAGTTAAGTGGCTTTGTTAACAAAAAATTGCCGGATTTGGCGCAACGGATAACCCCACGGGAGATTCGTTAGGTGCCTCTTACATTCCGAAAAAGTCACTGTTTAGTGTGGATTTTGGTCCAGCGGTATCATCGGCCCTAATTTCTTCGAAGATGTGCAAGAAGCTACGCTCACTGTCTACGGCAAACCGATACCGGACGATGATAACTATTTTTTGTAGTCTAGGATAGACATTATGGACCTCAAAAACATATGGTTCCAACAGGACGGCGCTACTTGCCGTACTGCACGGGAAACATTGAATTTATTGGATGATAAGTTCGAGTGCTTCGTCATCTCGGGTGCTGGCGATATCAATTGTCCACCAAGATTTATTGATTTAACACCGTTCGACTACTTCCTGTGGGGATACGTGAAATCTCTGGTCTATGCTGAAAAATCACAGACCAATGCCGCCCTGAAGGCTAACATAACTCGCATACTTCATTTATACGAAGATGTCGTCAAAATTAGTCCACCACGATACAGCGGAGTCGCGGCGGCCATTTGGCTGAAATTATATTCCATACATAATATCATCGAATATATTTAAAATTATAATTGTGGCAATAACACAAGTGGTTTTATTTCATTTCAAAGTTTGAGCGCTCTTTGTGAAAAACCCTGTATTTTTCCCGCGGTACAAGGTATTTTCCTCAGGATGCAGTCACTCTATCTCCTTGCCTTTTATCTTAGAACACTCTTATTAAAATCTGTTCAGTAGGCGTAAAAATTATAACAGACAGTCTGAGCTCTTTCGCATTTATCATATACAATATATATAATCGGAATCTCGGAAACGGCTGCAACGATTTTCATAAAATTTAGGGTCCAGGAGCTTTCGGGAGCAAATCGATCTAACTAGGATTCATTTTTAGAAAATGTCGTTTTGTCCGTGTTTTCAGGCAATG